CATTGGCTATTTCATGGGCAGTATGACATTGTATATTGGCTATTTCATGGGCAGTATGACATTGTATATTGGCTATTTCATGAGCAGTATGACATTGTATATTGCCTATTTCATGAGCAGTATGATGTTGTACATTGTCTATTTCATGGGCAGTATGACATTGTATATTGGCTATTTCATGAGCAGTATGACATTGTACATTGGCTATTTCATGGGCAGTATGACATTGTATATTGGCTATTTCATGGGCAGTATGACATTGTATGTTGGCTATTTCATGAGCTGTATGACATGGTATATTAGCTATTTCATGAGCAGTATGACATTGTATATTGGCTATTTCATGAGCAGTATGACATGGTATATTGGCTATTTCATGAGCAGTATGACATGGTATATTGGCTATTTCATGAGCAGTATGACATTGTATGTTGGCTATTTCATGTGTTATAAATAGTTGTTTCTTCAGTAATTCTCTTGTTACAGCTAGTTGGCGTGGTTTTTAGCTCACTGTCCATGTAACATGAATATTCAGCTTTCAGTGTTCCGATGACCCAGAGTGTGTCTGCCTGGCTAGAACCAGTTGAATGTTTTGGTTGGTTAGTTCCATACCAATGCTTTAAGTTGGATGAAAGTGGTAAACATCTGACACCTCCATCACTTTAGGACTTCCTACCATACTGAGCTGTAATACCATGATATAACTAACATGCAGTCAATCAAAGCAGCATTAGGGACTGTTCATAATTTATGGCTAGGGGGTGATGATGATTTGTATGGAGAAGCATGTACAATGTGAATGACACACCACACACACACACACAGAAATTTATGTACAAAATAAGTGACCCCCCTGCATTTCATGTACAAAGTCAATGACCCCCCCTCCACTAAAATTTCTAAGCATAATTTCAAACATATTTTTATGTACAAAATTGCTGACCCCCCTAGTACGTGTGTACAAAATTGCTGACCCCCCTAGCTCCCCAGAACAAAATGGGTGGAACCACACACACACACCCCTAAAATCCTCATAAAAAAACAAACCCCACCCCCAGCCACAAATTATGAACGGTCCCTTACACCTAGACAAACATACATGTATTAAAGGTATAACACAAATACAGGATATGAAACCCTTCCAGTATTGGATTATAGACATCATCTCATGTATATTGGATTATAGACATCAGCTCATGTATATTGGATTATATACATCATCTCATGTATATTGGATTATAGACATCATCTCATGTATATTGGATTATAGACATCATCTCATGTATATTGGATTATAGACATCAGCTCATGTATATTGGATTATAGACATCATCTCATGTATATTGGATTATAGACATCAGCTCATGTATATTGGATTATATACATCAGCTCATGTATATTGGATTATAGACATCAGCTCATGTATATTGGATTATAGACATCAGCTCATGTATATTGGATTATAGACATCAGCTCATGTATATTGGATTATAGACATCAGCTCATGTATATTGGATTATAGACTTAAGCTCATGTATATTGGATTATAGACATCAGCTCATGTATATTGGATTATAGACATCAGCTCATGTATATTGGATTATATACATCAGCTCATGTATATTGGATTATAGACATCAGCTCATGTATATTGGATTATAGACATCAGCTCATGTATATTGGATTATAGACTTAAGCTCATGTATATTGGATTATAGACATCATCTCATGTATATTGGATTATAGACATCATCTCATGTATATTGGATTATAGACATCAGCTCATGTATATTGGATTATAGACATCAGCTCATGTATATTGGATTATGGACATCAGCTCATGTATATTGGATTATAGACATCAGCTCATGTATATTGGATTATAGACATCAGCTCATGTATAGACTATAGACTTAAGCTCATGTATATTGGATTATAGACATCATCTCATGTATATTGGATTATAGACATCAGCTCATGTATATTGGATTATAGACATCAGCTCATGTATATTGGATTATAGACATCAGCTCATGTATATTGGATTATAGACATCAGCTCATGTATATTGGATTATAGACATCAGCTCATGTATATTGGATTATAGACATCAGCTCATTTATATTGGATTATATACATCAGCTCATGTATATTGGATTATAGACATCAGCTCATGTATATTGGATTATAGACTTAAGCTCATGTATATTGGATTATAGACATCAGCTCATGTATATTGGATTATAGACATCAGCTTATGTATATTGGATTATATACATCAGCTCATGTATATTGGATTATAGACATCAGCTCATGTATATTAAGTCAGTACTTCTTTTGATCAGTTTACACAACCAGATAATTGAAGACAATATGGATGCGTAACTTCAGGCCAGTCAATTAAGATGGTCAATGCTTCTGGAGTCTTGTAATGAAATACTTACTCACACAACTAATTAAGTCACAAGGCATCTGATTGACAGGTGATTGACAGGCAATTATGCTAGCGTGTTTGCATCATGTTGTGAAACTCCAGTATACACTGTATCCCTCACAGGGATGTTTATTTAATACCTCCAATAAACCCACAGATCTGTAAGTAGTGGCTGAAATTACTGTGTAAACAGCCAATAATTCACTTGGAATGTCAGAGCAGGCTTTCCATCAGCCAGACAGTGTGGAATGATTTGTTGCAGGTACGCAGTGAAATATGTCCAAGAATGTTCAGTTCATGGAGGTTGAGGAGAAATTATAACACTTCTAAACAGTCCTGAAACAAGAATCCTGGTCCATTTGAAACATTTTCACATGCTTACTGAAACTGATTGGTTCTAGAACACTTGTAATCAGTATACTGCCAGTGTTGGCTGCCAGTTTCAGGTGAAAAATAAGCCCTAATGGCTCCATTGCACAAAGTGATCTTAGTCCATGACTCTCTCAACTACAATAGCAGAAGCAGTAAGTCTGCTTTGTTGAACGAGTCCTATGCACATGCTCTGTTCAGTTGTCATAGGTTCATTAAAGTCTGGGTCGTATACTAAGCCAAGTTCTTGACACTTCAAGATTCTTGGTTAAAATCACCTTTCCACTATTAGTAGAGATAATCTTCCAGCTATTTTATTATATATTATTAGTCCATTTGAATCCCCAAATTCCTACCAAGGGTCAGAACTTCCTGACATTCAACCAGAATCTTGTCTGATCTTTCATTCATGTCACCTGTACTGTCACCTGTAGAGTCGCCATGGCTACCAATACGATCAGTATTGTCTAATTTACCAGGTCTAGACACCTGTGCAGTTAGATCCGATCTTACTAGGTGCATGGAGATCAAATTGACCAATGGTGAATGTCATAGATATACTGAGAAGGGACAGCTTGACAGGTTTATTTGTACACTTGGGAAGTCAATTGGGTTTATGGTGGATCTTGGTACAGCTAAGCTGGTCTGCGGCCAGGGACTTGCCCGGCTATTGGTGTAAGTAATAAATAATGAGGTAATCATGCTGGTGAGTCCAGTCAGAGCTGCTGACAATGTTTATTACACTGGGTTAGGTTGGAGGAGAAATGTACATTACACTGCTGTTAACATCATGTCAAAAGACAATCTCACAACTCTAGTTAAAGAGGCTTGTTTATCACCTCAAGTGGCTGGGTACATGACATTCATGTATCAATGAAGTGCAGCTAGTGCTGATGTGTAAGATGGGGCTCCTCCTCAAATGTGGAAACATTTCAAACTTTGAAAAGATGATTCTTCTCCTTCTTAAAAAAACCTATCCTTTTAGGATATTAAAAAAGGCAATTAAAACATTCCTACCTTTTAAAAAATGAGTATTTCAACTCATTCTGCTAAGTGGGACAGCAGAGGTAGAGATAAGCTGCGTATCTGCGTAAATTACGCAAATATTTATGTGAAAACTCAATTCCTATTAAGTCTATTGCGTACAAGTACGCTTGAATTTTTGTAAATACTCAATAGAAGTGATGTTACATGCGTACACACAAAAGTGTCAAATCTTAGCTTGCGTACCAGTGGATAGATAAAATAACTGAGGTTCTGTTTCAGGACATGAACTTGACAACTTGCGGTCTTTCTTATTGTTTCTCATATTACAGATCAAATATAAATAACAAACACTCACATTTTAACTTTATTATATTTTAACAATAAATGGAAAATGACAAAATACCCAATTGAGTTTGAGTGAGGTGGGTACAATTTATTTGGTTACTCAAAGGAAAATTAGGATACCCAATTGAGATTACAACAAGCGAGTACATAACTCAATGACCTAAAAAGTTATCTGCAGTTCTGGGACAGATTTGCATTTGAAAAGTTTCAGGGTTTGTTTCATCAAAAACCTGTCTTCATTTCTATGAATTAGGCATACACTCTATGGAAAGTGTTCAGCTATATATTGAGGGCATTACATTTCAAACTGAAACTTATTGTCTTATGTTCAAATGACATAGTTACCAAATCTTCTAGAATTTTCCCTTTTTCTAATTTCTGTTGATCATAAATAATACACAAAATGACATTTTTCATAGAAGTATTGTGAGTGAGTGAGTTTGGTTTATCGCCACTTTGGACAGTATTCTAGTTACATACCGGCGAGTGAGCTACATATATGGAGTGAGTGAGTTTGGTTTACCGCCACTTTGGACAGTATTCTAGTTACATACAGGCAAGTCAGCTACATATGGAAGTGATGCAAGTTCCAGACTTTGGTTAAACCCAAGGGCACAGTTACAGTGCTTACAAAACTAGAAACACCATGATTCGAACTTACATCCATAGACTGACTTCTTGCTAGATATGGATTTTAGAAATTATCATTTAAACTAAAAATTATTACCTTAGAGATTTGTGCAAGTCTAACTTCTTGCATGCCCCGCTATGCAAGAAAATAGCAGCACCATAGATGACAGTGTCATGTGTTCACCCTCAAAGGACTTATAGAATTCCATGTAAACTGGCTCTTTTTGTGTTTCAGGTAATTTCCTCTATGTGAGCAACGGCACCAACATTATCAAAATCAACCGACTCAACGGAGCCATGGCATCTGTCTTCTACCAGGTGAGATATAGCTGTAATTCATAACCAGTGAAGATACCGATGTCAACCCAATAAATGCCTGTGTATTGTGTTATTGAAGATCTGTCTCATCAACAGACATACAGTTACACTCATCCAACACACAGATGATGGTAAACAGCAATTAATTCCAGCATTTAAAGGATTCAGTCAGGAGAGTAGTAGTAATAAACTAATCTATATGGCTGAGTGTTTCTGATGTAAATTATAAAAACTCACATATTATTTAAGTCATATTTTGTGTGTGGAAGGAGGTATTTTAGGTGGAGGAAATACCAATATGTTTTGTTTGAACATTGACATGTTTCTGTGAATATGGAAACATGAAAAGCACTGTGGATATTAAGTGATGGAGTAACTGTCACATCATTGAGATGCTGAGTAGGTCATAATGATGTATGGTATCAGGAAAGTGAACTTAGTAATTTACCTGATCATATTTCCAGCAGAACTGTCAATGGCCTCTTTTTGTTTCCCTGTGCAGTAATGACTGTTGGCAAAGTAGATCCCAACTGAGGCCCTCTGTCTTCACAAGTCATGATCTTTGATCTCAAACTTACAAAATTTCAAATATTTTCATTTCTTCTTTGACCTCAATGCAAATTTTAGTCCTGATCAAACTATTCAGATGTTCAAAGGATTCATGACAAAGTTGTCGCAAAAACACACTTTATTTCTGATCAGCAATCTTCATCAGAAGGTCATGGGTGAAAAGAACATAAATACCATCTGAACAGCAATCTTGGATGCCATGTATGAAGTCAGTTGACTGTAAGCATGTGTAATCAGAACAAAGGTAACAAAAAAATGCTGCCGTCAGCGTGGACAAATCAGACATGTCCAAAACAGATGAGCCAGGTAATTGTCTCACAAGATTCCTGTCCCGACAACGGTTCAAGCAGTCGTAATACTGGATTGAAAAGGTCACGAGGGTGTGCTAATATCTCTGGCAGAAACACGGAGGAAGGAAGTGCTCCATGTTAGGATACAGGGTCCTTTGGGGGTTGCCGGCAATGAAAGTGCAGGCCCATTTCTGACAGGATCTCTGGGGTAAACAGCGGAAAAAGGTTGATAAATGGTGTCATGTTTTCACATGTAACGAGTGTCAATCTTTGTCGTGCTGGTGCAGTGATTTCTATCACATTATGTTACATGTAGCATTTCTCATTTCTTTGTAATGGAGATTACTCACTGAATAATGGCTGCTTGCAAGGTTTACATGGGTAGAAGGTGGACAATTCTCACTGTAGTTTACTGCACCTGAACTGTCCTTATGGTTTGGTTTGCCAGAAAGTATCTGCATTTGTGGACGTAATTTTTCATTTACATTTTGTTGTTGTTTTTTAAAATGAGTGAATGTTCATTGTACAATTTTGGTCATATTTACGACACTTGAAAAGTTGTGTATTTATACAATGTAGTGTATCTCAGATACTGATGCTTCACTCACTTGCATTGAGACTTTATAGCTTCCAGACTGACATGGGGATGATACTGAAACAATACACATTCAATGACAATGAGTGAGTGAGTGAATGTAGTTTTGCGGCACAGGCTCCAATAGGAATCATCTGACCTGTAATAGTTGAATTTGTACCAGGAGGCATGTAGTTGATAAAAACCAAAAGCCTGGTGGAGTGGTGACACAAGTCTATTTAGGTTTCCAGGGATCAGTTCTCTACTGGAATGCGAAAGAGGTCCCATTATCCCAATATCATTGTTACAAGAGCCAGTTGATGAAGAATACATGTCATTGTGCCCTGACACCACTGATTGTTGATTATGCTGCCAGAGACCGATTGATTTGTCTAGCCTGAATATTGACAGGCACTTTCATCGTACAGCTCAAACACTGATCAGGGTAACATGCAGGTTTACCATCAAACATTATCATGGTTATCTATCATTATGAAACAGAGTCCTGCAATATTCCAGCTATATGACGGCCATCATAAATACCCGAATCTGGCCCAGACTGTCCAGTGATTGACGTCATGAGCATCTACACATGATGACCTGATGCCATTAGTAGTCCTTTATGACAAGTATGGGTTACTGAAGATCAAATCTAACATCCATCTTCACGGGTCCCTTAAGTAATGATGAGGAAAATTCATGTATGTGTTTGTACTTAATGCTGGTTGTAAGAGTGATTCTGATGATGTTGTTTTGACACAGACAGACCAGGTACCACAGACAGCCAGTGTCCTTAATTCTCCAATCACCTCTTCTGGTAGAAGAGGAGTCGACTCCCTTCAAAACATTGAATTGTATAATTGCTTGTTTCAGCAAATATTTATGTTCAGAAGATACACTGTTGTATTAATAGAATTCGTTGAGAGAAATTTGTCTGAAATTGTCTGGGCAGGGCTTTTAGAATGATACAATGTTTACAAACATTATATCACCACCAACAAATATATCCTTATTTCAAATGAATTAAAGTAATCATCAGTGCAAAGTAAACATGTCGTCTGGTTGACGTCTGCTATCCTCAGGGGTCATGGCTTCTACTTTTTTCAAAGTGGTTGTAAAGGAAGTACTTGTAACAGTTTGACTGGATGCAATTTCCCAATTTGAACATGTGTATTTATTTTTGTTGTGGATATCCTGCTCATAAAATGTGTGCTTCCTTCATAAGTTAAAAACCCACAAATGTTTGGCTTGAATCACCATGGCAGTATTACAGACTTGCATTATAGCAAGAAAATGTATTTGAGTGACAGATTTAGTTTTGGAATAAGATGTTGAAAAAATTAATAGCTTTCTAATTAGTCATATATAATGTTTTTGATGTTTTGTTTTCAATGTTTATGGTATTAAGCTAGTTTCAAACAGGAAGTGAAACATAACCAGTAAAAGTGTTCGTGTATGCATGAATCTTGTTGAGAAGGTTGCAGGTGAGTGGCGGCTGTGACACAACCTGCACTCAGTGCATCTTTCACTGTAGAAGCAACCGGCAATACTACGGGGACCTTTCAACTCAACTCAGGAGTTGCCCTCAGTCCTAGCCCTCCCATCCAGCCACATTCAAAATAACATTTTTCACACCAAAACACATCATCCTTTAGAGTTCCCCAGTGTATTCAGTACAGTGAATAAATTTCTTAAAACTATAATCATGTCTGCAAAATCTCCTGAGAGAAATTGCGAAATTGATGAAATGGCCCTGGCTTGTCTCTCTGCCAGTGCTGTGCCTTTTTGCCTCTTTGTGTGAAGTTGTTATCATGCAAGTAGATTCTGTATGCTAATGTCAGCCTTGTTTTGTATGATAAGAATAATTGTGGTAATGAAGATAATTGCTGGCCTTACAGCCTTGTATCAAGCTGTTTTGTAGGTCATTTGTTGGTCTAGACCAGCTCTGCTGCTGTAACAGTGGGCTGTATTTGTGGGTCTACACATGCTGTGGTGCTGTAACAGTGGTCTGTATTTGTGGGTCTACACATGCTGTGGTGCTGTGACAGTGGGCTGTATTTGTGGGTCTACACATGCTGTGGTGCTGTAACAGTGGTCTGTATTTGTGGATCTACACATGCTGTGGTGCTGTGACAGTGGTCTGTATTTGTGGGTCTACACATACTGTTGTGCTGTAACAGTGGACTGTATTTGTGGGTCTACACATGCTGTGGTGCTGTAACAGTGGGCTGTATTTGTGGATCTTCACATGCTGTGGTGCTGTGACAGTGGTCTGTATTTGTGGGTCTACACATGCTGTGGTGCTGTAACAGTGGACTGTATTTGTGGGTCTACACATGCTGTGGTGCTGTAACAGTGGACTGTATTTGTGGGTCTACACATACTGTGGTGCTGTAACAGTGGTCTGTATTTGTGGGTCTACACATGCTGTGGTGCTGTGACAGTGGTCTGTATTTGTGGGTCTACACATGCTGTGGTGCTGTAACAGTGGACTGTATTTGTGGGTCTACACATACTGTGGTGCTGTGACAGTGGACTGTATTTGTGGGTCTACACATGCTGTGGTGCTGTAACAGTGGACTGTATTTGTGGGTCTACACATGCTGTGGTGCTGTAACAGTAGACTGTATTTGTGGGTCTACACATGCTGTGGTGCTGTAACAGTGGGCTGTATTTGTGGGTCTACACATACTGTGGTGCTGTAACAGTGGACTGTATTTGTGGGTCTACACATACTGTGGTGCTGTAACAGTAGACTGTATTTGTGGGTCTACACATGCTGTGGTGCTGTGACAGTGGACTGTATTTGTGGGTCTACACATGCTGTGGTGCTGTAACAGTGGTCTGTATTTGTGGGTCTACACATGCTGTGGTGCTGTAACAGTGGTCTGTATTTGTGGGTCTACACATGCTGTGGTGCTGTAACAGTGGTCTGTATTTGTGGGTCTACACATACTGTGGTGCTGTAACAGTGGACTGTATTTGTGGGTCTACACATACTGTGGTGCTGTGACAGTGGTCTGTATTTGTGGGTCTACACATACTGTGGTGCTGTAACAGTGGACTGTATTTGTGGGTCTACACATGCTGTGGTGCTGTAACAGTGGACTGTATTTGTGGGTCTACACATGCTGTGGTGCTGTGACAGTGGTCTGTATTTGTGGGTCTACACATACTGTGGTGCTGTAACAGTGGACTGTATTTGTGGGTCTACACATGCTGTGGTGCTGTGACAGTGGTCTGTATTTGTGGGTCTACACATGCTGTGGTGCTGTAACAGTGGTCTGTATTTGTGGGTCTACACATACTGTGGTGCTGTAACAGTGGACTGTATTTGTGGGTCTACACATGCTGTGGTGCTGTAACAGTAGACTGTATTTGTGGGTCTACACATGCTGTGGTGCTGTAACAGTGGACTGTATTTGTGGGTCTACACATGCTGTGGTGCTGTAACAGTAGTCTGTATTTGTGGGTCTACACATACTGTGGTGCTGTAACAGTAGACTGTATTTGTGGGTCTACACATGCTGTGGTGCTGTAACAGTAGGCTGTATTTGTGGGTCTAC